CAGATTGAACCATCGCGAGGGTGATTATAGCTGCGATCTTGCGACATAGCGAGAACATTCGTAACGACAGTATTAATCCGAATTCCCGGGGAAAATCAAATCGGAGGGGGGGGGGGGGGGGGGGGTGGAGGGCCGCGCTCTACTCATTGTGGGATAATAGTAAAATAATCATTATAATGCAACAAACCGTTTCAAATACCCTAATCCCTGCGGCAGCAATTGAGGGATTTCAACAACTCCAATCACACGTGTGTTCTTCATGTGTTCTACGGTACCGTCCCCTTAAATAATTCAAATCGAAACTTTCTCACGAAAACTTGCGATTTCTAGCGAGGTATCGTGCACGACTTCTCGCTGCCAACGCCCCTTCCCCCTTCGATACAAGTGTAACTGTTTACTATAGGATTAACAAGCCGGCTACACGATCTCCGCTCATTCGTATCAGCGAATACATCAGGAACACCCCGCTTTCTATATATACATTTCTTTGCCATTGAAATGTATATATGCAACTCATTCTCTATCGCATCGATCGATCTTGAAACAGTACACAAAATCGGTTCATCAAAACCTCCAACATCCCTCATCTACCTAAGCAGCCAACCCATAGCCATACCTCTCCTGCCCACCAGTAAGACTTCGTATCGTGTACACTTCTTCTGTTTGACAATATTTTGCCTTTCAACATGGCCACTACCTTTCCTCTTTCGGACTTCAAGTTTTCAGAAATTCCTTCACCATGTCTTCCCAAAAACTCCGACATCAACACACGTCTCGCAATCGAACCCCTACTTCCGCGGGTATCAAAGCAAGAAAAAAAGGCCGGCGCAAAAGCAAGGGTCCTTTCAAATCTGTGAGTTCCACGCTGTAATATCCCAGCAACCTCAAGGAAGACCGAAGATCCCCTTCCCACGGAATGTTCCGTCAAGTTCATCAGGCTTTGTTGAAAAGAAAGCTACTGGGTGTATGTACAACCGACGCAAAGACCACTCTCGTCAACGGCGTTAAACCCAAAGAATGATGGCTTTGTTCAAGCCCTCGCTGTACAAGCACATGATCGAGTGGTATTCATAATTGGTGGACCCGCTTCTGCTGATGGGGAAAAAGCTCCTTATGTACGAGGCCACCAACGGTACTTCTTATGACCAAAGAGGCTTGTTATCATGTGCCCCAGAGGTGATGATTGACGAACAAACTGGTAACGTTTCTTACCCCAGACTCCCAACCCACAGAAATGGCCTTAGTGGTTCAATAAACCTTTAAACCGGCCTACATGCAATTACGTGTTACGACCCGCAAAGAAGGATGAACCTACCTAGTTTCTCGACGAACAGGACAAGTGGAACAAGGTCAATGACACCTGGAGTGAGCTGCTCACCACTCCGACATCATGACTCACCTTGTGACGGATTCTTGGATGATCAAGGCGAATACCGCACTGTACCGAATTCTCAAGGACGACAAGGGCAATGTGTACTCTATTTGGCCTCGTGGTCAACTCCCGCTTCACTTCTTACGTCCGTTGATTTACCGAAACAACCTTGATGCATCGACTTCGGTCGCATGCGGGCCATCACTGGTGCCCTCGCAACATTATTACAAGAGCCACTACGCACGCACACCATCCCCCGCCCCCACCTCACCCACCAACAGTTCGCCTTCAAGCTACCACACTGCCCTTCCCCGGTTTTGAACTACCCCCCGGCATGAATTTGAGGCCTTCTTTGGAACTCTTCTGAAAAGCACCAGCAGGAGAACGGTGGAAGTCTCCTACAGTAGCTTACCCGTATAAATCCCCCGTCCCTCACTTTCAAATCCTAAATACTGGACCTCCCAATATTATTCGCAAACATTCCAGTTCCAATGCAACCAAAACGTCATCTCCCGTCCCACCTTTTCCACGAACCACGTCGGCCAAGTATCACCTGCGAATAGTCAGAATGATGACACTCCACAAGGTATGAAGAAAGCTGCGAACTTCCTCACGATCCTATTACCGAATACCCCAGTTCCGACGAAGAGCGGGAAGCAGAGGAAGGAAAAAGAAGACGCCAAGCTCCCAGCGGAAGCGAGCCAACCCTCCACTTAACACACGTTGACTTCAAAATTGCAAAACCTAAACCCTAAATATAAGCCACATGATTCATTCGATTCTACTCACCATTATCCTGTATTAGTAGACAAGTTAAACTAGTACTGGAAACGGAGACGACCCAGGGGGCATATGAATGATCAACTTGTTCTAATAGAAACTGTGGATATTTTCCTAGCTAGCTAGCTAGCTAGACCTGGATTCTTTGCTCATGTCTTCCTTTACTTAGACCTTATTTCTAGCTGCTATGCTGCCATTCCGCACTGACATGACCAGTACTACAGCGTACGCTGTAGTTGCCTTGAACGAGAAGAGAGAGTTAGCACACGAGTCGAGTCAAGTCGATCCTTCTCATTCATTTGATCCCACGAACCCAGCCTCAGCGATGGATGAACGCTCCAGGTGTCACAAGAAAAACAAGCCAAAACATGACTGCATCGTCTACCAATCCATCTTCAAGAACCAATTCCTCGTATAAGAAGGTTGCCTGCCAATGGAGTCTGCTTCTCGTAGTAGCCATCATGATTCAGGGTACCCTGAATCTTGTGCTGGGAGACATTGGAAACATCATTGCAACTTCTTTCATCGTCTTGGCGACATCCGTCATTTACGTCTGCAAATGTCAACTTTCGCCTGAAGAGGCAGCAGCAGAAGATGAAGCTTCGCAGACACAGCCAGAACATACCGGCACGGTTGCAGTTGACCATGAAACAGAGTCGAGCCAAGAAGTTGTTCCATTACCGGCACTTGAGCAAGTACCGCCTACCATTGATTTGAAAGAAGCAAGAGTCGAGGAAGAACCCGTACAACAAGAGCTAACCCCACCCGCTAGACCCCGTCTTTATTTCTTGGATACCCTCAAGATCTTCCTGACCTTTATAGTCTTGGAACATCATATTGCCTGTGCCTTTGGTGGCTGTGGAGAAGGAAGCTGGTTTTTGATCATTGGGGAATACTCCAATCCTTTTCAATACGTCGCCCGATCTTTTGCAACGATGAATCAAGCCTATTTCATGCCGCTCTTCTTCTTTGTGTCCGCCTACTTTACTCCCTCAAGTTACCAACGTCGTACCAAAGCCGAGTTCTTGGACAAACACAAGGTGCGAGTGTATATACCAGCCATGGTGGCAACCTTTACTGTGGTGCCTGTCTGTTGCATGATTGGTCAGTTCATGGCAGGTATTACCATTGTGTATTTACCACGTTCAGGACACTGTTGGTTTCTGCTGTGGCTGCTGATTTTCAATTGGGCCTACTGTTGCATTGGTGACCGACTGAAGAAGCGAAACCACGAAGAGGGGGAAGCGCCAGATAGACCAACTTCCACTCCATTTCCTCGGCTACAAAAACGCCTTTTCTATGGTTTCTTGGTCTGTGGACTCCTCATGTTTGCAGTCGTAGTGGCTTTGGGTGGAGGTGGAAGCTTCTTTACCATGCCAATTACGATTGGCTCCTTGATGTGCGATATAGTCTTCTTCGCCGCGGGCACTCAAGCTAAAGCGAACAATTGGTTGGCACCAGAGAACCTTCGATCCAAACTAGAATGTTCCATCTGGTATCAGCGGGCTTTGGTACTGGTCGAAGGTGGCTTGATGTTATTCCTTTTGTTCATGGCAGAAGAAGAAATGGAGGTTCTATACATTCCAATGTTTTTGGTTGCAGGAGTCTATTGCATTGACATGTCCCTCGTGCTCTTGGATTTCTTCCAAATCAATGTCAACTATCGCAATGCTTTTATTGGAGCATTGGCAGATGCTGCTTATGGAGTCTACATTCTCCACCCTCTTGTAATCACGGGTGCCACAGCAGCCTTTCTCAAGATCTACAACAATCTGCATCAAGACAACCCGTTGCAATTTGAAGATGAGTCTGTCGTATCAAAGACACAACTCCAAGGACCAGGAGATGGAAGTCTTCACCTGTTGGCAGGGTTCCTGATTCTCTCCGTGGTCTGCAATCTGGTATGCTGGCCTTTGGCCTGGTGGATTCGACAACTTCCTGGATTTCGACGCTCTCTTTGATGCATCCTCATGTTGACAGAGGTATCTAATGATAGTCAACTTTCAGCTAGCCAGTACCGGTACCGGTAGATCTTTCAGCTAGCCAGTACCAGTACCGGTACCGTACCGGTAGATTGAGACAGCATCCGCGATACTCGCATTGTGCTTCCACGCTGTGCAACCACGCTGAGTGAGGTGGGTCTGATGGCTCTAGGTGGCTACCGGTACGGTAGCGTACTGTACGGTGGGCTCTAGCTACAGCCAGCTAGCTAAAATATAGGTACCACCGTGAAGGTAGCAGTGTTGCATGGCCAGCTGGGTTTAGCCAAGCTATTGAGAATGCAGGCTGAGAGCCCGCAAGCATAGATTTGATGCGGTGTTTTGCTATGCATCAAGTTCCTTGACCAGCAGCCAGGCAGAAAAAGATTCAACGACGCACTGCGGAGGCAAAACCCAAAAGACGCCACGCGACGATATTACTAGCTAGCTAGTACCAGTAGCTAAAGCTTAGAGATGCCACAAACAGAGTAGTACGGTAGCTGCGGGGGTGGGGAGCAGGCTCCTTGGCTACCAACACTATGCATACCGCACGATCGGAATCTTCAGGCAGGCAGGCAGCTAACCAATCAACAATAATACACGCAGCAACCAAGAGACTACGCCTTTGACAACCTAGCAACGAGCTACAAGTCTTGACTGGTCACTCCGGAGGGATGCCAAGACTACCCAAACACTGCAGTGCCCTGGTGACTTCTGTCTAGCTAGCTTGCTTGTAGAGCCACTTCCTGTCCGGCCTTCCTCCAGCTCTCCCGTCGGGTCCGGTTTGTCGATATCCATATCTTGTCCTTGGATGACTTGTTGGCAGCGGAATTGGTACAGTTTCAGACTGGTAGCCATCCAGGCATTGCAGATCCCATCGGGTTTGCGTATCTTTAGGAGACATCATTGGCACTCACCCAGCAAGAAAATCGGGTGGTTGAGGGGGTGTGCTGCTTCTGTGTTCCGCGGCCAACGGTACTAGTATGGTACCAGTGTGAATGCTGCAAGGAAGGATGAAGCACGGCTCCCGATTCGACGGCTCGGTAAACTAATCCCCCAAACTTATTGCTGTGAACAACAGCTACACAACACTTTGTACGGAACCCCCAATCATTGTTTCACCCCCAATCATTGTTAGCAATTATTGGACTGTTAGATTGCATCCTTCCAGTATGCGTTCTACCGCTGTTAATACTTCACAGTAACAAGTCTACCTAAGCCTTCCGTTCCCGGTTTATTCGACGAGTAGAGGACACATTCTGCTTTCGTCCACAGCTGCACAAACTGGTCGATAACACACCACGTAGGCATCCTTCCAATAGCCAGAGGAGAGTTGAAGACCAAAAGCGTTCGGACTTCAGCAGCAGACGTCTCTTTGAGACAGAGAGAGCTGAGTGAAGCATATCTAAATTTATTATCAGAACAAGAAGCAACCATGGTTGAAGTTTCTCTCTCTGCCATGGCGTGGTTGTGCGTCCTCTTCATCCAGGTGCTCGTTCACATCAAAGTAGTTTACCTGCGGAAGCGCCACGATGACGATGATCATCTCACGGCAGCGGAGGGAGAGCGATTGGAATCAGAAACGGTGGATGCGGCCAACAGTGAGACGATTGAAGAGACGCTTCTCACCAGATCCTTCAGTGACCCGGCGATGGATGATGATTTTGACGATGACGACGATCCTCCAAACTTGAAGCATCGATTGTCTCAAACGGGCTCAGAGATGATGAGCGTAAGTACCCTTCATTTTTTTTAATGTCAGCATCTATGGTACCGGTACCATCCCACTAACCATCATATTCCGGTCTCTCCCTTGCATTTTCAGAGTTGTAAATCCTTGGAGGCCATCGTGCAAGAGTACATGAATCAAGAGGCAACTCTGGCCCAATGAGCGGTGCTGCTTCCTGTTGACACTACTTTCTTTTCCGTCTAAATGCTGTATCTGTTGTTCACGGCTCCAGGCTTTTCAGCTCTGGTTACGCCTTCTTTGTGTGTGAAATGTGTGTATATTATTGACTACATTTGATCATAACGCCATCACCCACATCCATCATCATCTATCTGATTATTTATCCAAAAGCAAGCCCAACACTACAACGCCAAGAAAAGATGTGCTGCTCAAGGCGCACACGGAGACTGATGCTTGCTTTTGCAATCCCAAAACTCAAGTACCTGAGTTTGTCCGAACAAGCGAAACGCCCTCACAACTCACAACTCATCACAAACAGTTTTCTGACCTTCGGAATCTACCCTATCCGATCCAACCATTCCAATTCTACAACTAGAGAGAGCAAGAGATTACGTAAATCCCAATTCCATCTATGAAGCTTTAGTCTGTTTCCATTGCATCCATCCATTCATTCATTTCAATCACCTGTTGTCCCGATACGATACCCAACTAAGTTGTGGACGCCGTTCCCCGAACTATCACACGGTGCAACTCCATGAGGCTTTCCATCCTCACACCAAGTAACTCTATACTAATTGTGTGCATTATTTCTACGAAGACCGCAGCTAGCTATCAAACTGCACGCTAGCTCGTAGTTAGAGAGAAAAGGTATTCCCACATTTAGCTCCCCAGATACTGGTGGCCAATCCATGTCCGTTGCTCCAGGAAAAAGCCTTCTGTTTCGTAACTGGTGTTCCAATCGAGGACAAAATGAAGTGGGGGGCTTCGTGTCTCGGGTGGACAAGAGTTGTCCCTGCTGGCTAGTAGCGCAGTACTACGTATGTAAGGCTACGAGTCTTGTAGTGGAGCCAGGAATCCGGCGTTATGGCTCCTTAATGGCCCAACTGTGGCATCTGTCTTCAATAGGTTGCTTACAGTGGTTTACAAAAACAAAGAAAGATTTTTCCTCTTTTAATAATAAGTGGTCAATTTGTATGCATAACGCTGGAAGAGGAAGAAGAAGAGGAAGAAGAACAAGATAAAGAGGAAATTAAAAGTACATACGGTCTTGCATCGCGTCAGTGTTGAAGAATCCAAAGCGATGTGGAGTCTCTGTGAGAAACAGGTTTTAGATTTCTCCCGTGGCTCCTCACACTCGGTTTAATTATCTCTGGATGTGACGTGCAGATGGCACAAAGAGGCCGAGCAGATTGTGACGGTACTGCAGTGTGTGTCCGTTCATCATCTGGAATTTGAATAGGTGCCTAACCCACCGGACACACACGAAACACAACATCACACATCTCACACAATACACACACACACTCGGTCTATCTTAGGCCGACCCTATCCTTACCACGCATCACCAATCACGCATCTCCCAAGATTGGTGATGCGTGACCCCCGCACCTATCCTTGACACGCATCACCAAACACGCATCATGAGCAAGACTGGACTCACCGACCAATGAAAATCAATAAAAAGTGCTGACGTGTACAGCGCGGAACAGCAACAACAAGAGCCAACAGGAAGACGTTCGAAAGTATCTAGCTAGCTAGAAGCAACACTTGTAATAGAATAGACAAAGAGCTTGAGGTTAACATCATGTCTATGCCAGCCTACGTTATGCAGGAACTGCGCAATACAGTTGCAGTGTACTGCAGGGAGTTGGTCATGGGAAACAAGGACATGAAAGATTCATCCCAAGAAGACATGATGTACGCATGTTACCACGGTGATACAACAAGAATGTCTCACGTGGAAGGCTTGACGAAAGGCGAAGAGCCATTCACAGAGATGTTCTACAAGTTGGAATTAGAGACCAATAGAGAGGGCAATGAGGAAAGAGCCCAAGCGAAGGTGAATTACATGCTGGAGCTGAAAGGAACTTTTCACTTGATCTTAGACAAACGCATAATTGTTTATGAGAATGGTTTCACAGAAAAGTCTCTTTGCGAAGATGGCAAAAGTGGCAAAGTACAAAAGGTGTCCGCCAGAAATATCTATGATAAGGCCCGCTTCAGCATCGCCAACTACCGGATTGCACTGGTCTTCTACAAAGAATATTCCGGAACACTAGAACCTGGAGTCAATCCATCTGGCCAGAGCTTTGATGATATGATTCTCTATGTGCGCAGGAAGATGTTCATTGCCCTGGAAGGAAAGACACGTAAAAGAACATTGACAAAGAAAGAGAAAGAAGCAGGGAAAGTGTTCGATAAAACAGAAGATGATATGCCCGAAAAGTATCTTTTCCAGGGCTATTTCGCATTTTGTCTTTGGGGCCCAATCCCTCTTTCTGGAAGGACGTTATCCTGCTTTGCCGCTGACCACAAGAGTAAGGTTGAAAAGAAGTCACGAAAAGATGCAAGGGAAGAACAGGCCAAGCAGAAGGCCTACGAGCGCTCAGTTGATGAAGGAGCTGACGAAACCTTCAAGAGGGGTGTGCCATTACAAGAGAAAAAGGTTGCTATTCAGATGGCTGCTGCCGCCCATGCGAATGAACAAAAAAACGCAAGGGATTTGCTTGCAATCGCCAACGCTGATCATGCCGCCACCTCCAAAGAGTTCTTCCAAGTGCTCGAAGCCATGAAGGATGCCGCCACACCAGATGAGAGGACGATGTACCAAGAGTGGAAGCAAGGGCTTTCTGCTGAACTCACCAACATTCGAAAGAGAAAGAAGAAGCTTCAAGCTGATTGCGACAGACTCATGCAAATGCCAAAGATAAGCACTGCAATGTCTGACGAGTACTATGGTCGTGTTGTTGTTCCAGCGCCAGGCACACTGCCAAGTCCTCTCACTGTTGATACTGCAGTTGCAACTGGAGTTGGCAGTGCCAGCGAAAAGAGAACTGCAGTCACTCTTGCCTCCCAAGGAAGTGTCCCAGCCAGTGCAACCGACACCGGTTCTCTACGCAAGCACCTTTTGCAAGACACAGTGACGGTGGATTCACAACCGTACAGCTCGCAGCTGGCATGTACATCTGAATTGCGAGGTCATACACGGTTGGAGAATATGTCTGATGCTGCCTTTCAAGAGTTCGCGCAACAGCAATCACAGAATGGTGGATTGGAACAGTACCTGCAAGAACGACAGTCATCGGAGAACAACAACCTTTCCCAGGAGACCGATGTCAATGGCTTCCAACAGTTTTTACAGCAACAGCAGCAGCGCAATGTGACACAGGAGGAAGAAACAAAAGCCGATGAGGAAGACAGTGACTTAGATCCATTCAACGACAACGACAGTACAGCAGCCATGATTCGCAAAGCAGAGGAAACAATTCAGCAGGGAAAACAAAAGGGCGATGGCACAATTCATCTTGACGATGACACTGACAGCGACGTTGATGAATAGTTGCTAGTGTTTAATTTTTAGTAGGCCAGACAATTGCTCTGCGTCTCCACAGAATGTCAAAATGCTCAACAAGAAGATTTCGAAACTCTCTGTAGGACAGAGAGTTAATGTAGATTGCCCCATCTTCATTGACACTGTCTCCACACCCTTCCGATGTGTCGTCCTCTGCACCAGCGTCATTATCTTCCATTGAAACTTCCGGTACCAAGAGACGTGGTCGTGCCACACTCCTTTCATGCTCTCTGCTGCCGAATTGTGCGATCTCTGGCTGCTGCAATCTTTGAACAGCAAATGGGGCATACTCGGCAAATCCATCTGCTTCATTGTCACCAAGCTCTCCCTCCCAATCACTTCGAATTCCTTTCTGCCACTCCGATGAGAGCCCATCAATATCGAGAAGCCAGTTGTGGAGGGCACAGCAAGTGAGCCACGTGTTGTCTGCTGATTGCGTACCTTCCAATCTAATGCCAGTTTTGAGGATTCGAAATCGCCCTTTGAGAATTCCAAATGTACACTCTACGTCTTTTCGAAATGACTCTATGAACTCTGAGAGACGACGTTCAGCCAGAGTCAAGTCAGCTTTGCCTGGCGCTTGAGTGCAGGACCAGCGGTGATACCCATTATCCACCAATCCCCAAGAGCCACAATACTGGGATTCTTTTACAGGACCACCAACCTGTGCGGTCCATGACAATAGCGTAAACTTAGCATCTTGTAAGATGTCTCCCTTTCTCAAACTGTAAAGAAATTCGTCATGATAGGCCAATGTCTTGTCATTCCATCGAGAGGGATGACCTTTGGTAGTATGCAGGATCTGCCGCCTGTGATTGCATGTCAGATTGTAGGATCGTGCAGGATGACTCTGTTTGAAACCAGTATTTGCCTGTTTCAAGTTGTGAGTGCAGCGCCACATTATGACGTTGGTTGCATCGCTTGACCATGCAGCACCATGGAGTCCACCCATATTGAATTCATGTTGATGTGTCCGGTATTGTTCTGCATTCACTGGATGAGAGACATATTTCTGGAAGAGATTTGTTGATCCGAATTCGATAAATACATGGAAGAACTGGCGATGAGTTTCCTCGTTTATTGCTGTAAATTCCTCGAGATCATCGAAGGTTAAGCCCCTGCCAAGGTAGCGAAGTGCTCCCAGAATCATAAGCTCAATTGGGGAGCAATCTTGACCCATGGCATCCTTTCTGTGCCATCGCCGGAACTTCCCAGAAACACTAGTCTTCTCCACTAATTCCAGGAAGGCAGAATGTGGAAGGCGAAATCTTCTTCGAAAACGTCTCAGGAAAATGGGATCTTCTTTGGGTGGATTGCGTACATATAGCAGATACCAAACTGTCTCCTTTGGGGTCAAGTAGATGACAGTTCCATCATCTCCAAGATAGTAGGGGCGATGGGATTTAGTTGAACGGGGTTTTCTTGTTTTCTTTGTTCCTTGGCTTCCAGTTGTGACCGACCTGGAGGCTTTACGCTGTTGTTCTCTTTCTAATGCTGATGCCAATGAAGAAAGGGCTTCCCGAATTGCATCTTCGCCCTCTCCTACCTCTCGGAGCTTGTCTAGATTCAGCAACCCATCTCCATCCAGACAGTCAGCTATTGAGCTAGCTTTGCCGCTCTCTTCCAATAGTGCGAGCGAATAGAGTAGTAAAGCCTTGTCAACCCCATCATTATTATTATTGCTACTAGTATCATCAGCGTGCATTCTTTCAAGGGTGGTTGCAGTGCATTGATTTGGATTTCACAACTTTGATCCTTGCCGTTGTCTATTGGTTTTGGTGTTGTGTGGGCCAAGATGCGTGGAATTCAACTCCACGCAACAGGGCCTCCTGTTCGGTGATGAATTTCCCAACACGCATCCTTGAATCCCACTCGCGATTCGATACTTGATTCTGATTGGTTCTCCATGATGCGTGATAGGTGATGCGTGGTAAGGATAGGGTCGGCCTAAGAAGCCATTTCGGTACCAGCATCCAGGCCTCCAGCAGCGCGCCCATAGTTCCCTCTGCTGCATACTAGTAACCGCTGCGTCGTCACTCCCTACAACTGGTGTTGCCCTCGACCTCCAAGTAGAGTCGAGTCGAGTCGAGTCCATCCATCCCACAGTACCGTACCTGGTACGATAGTCACCTCTAAATAGGTGCCTACTAGTACGGTACAAGTAATCCCCCGTCAACTCCACAGACATTGAGTCACCTCGAATCACACAGGGCAGTCATTCCACTCTACCCACATACATAGTAGCCTGCACTGTTGAGTAATTCCATTCATAAACACAAGTCCATCTCCATACAGTGACTATGAACAAAGAAAGTGAAGTTCACCAGAACTCTGAGAAGGGCCCAAACAATTTGGATGGAGCTAGCAGCGGTACCGGTACAGCGGGATCCATCCCAAAGAGTGCTAATGGAAAAGATGAGTGCATGAAAAGCATCCCCTACGAAACCCAAACTGCTGCCATGATACCTCCTGCTATTGTTCAACGAATGGTCGGGAATAGTTTTGGCACCTCTGTGGACTCAAAATTCATTGATAGAAAAGTGGGGGTCATAAAGGAAAGGAATTATTCCCCTACAATTCGACATAACGATGACGAAGAAGCGCCTGCTGCAGAAATTAATTTTTCTGTTCAGCCTCGAACTCAGCCTGAGGCCGGAAATAATGTTGGCACTGCTGTGGACTCAAAATTCATTGATAGAGAAGTGAGGGTGATAATGGAAAAGAATAGTTGCATTACCCTTCCACAGAACAAAGAAGCCCCTGCTGCAGAAGTTAATTTTTCTGTTCAGCCACGACCTCAGCCTGAGGTTGGAAATGATTTTGGCACTGCTGTGGACTCAAAATTCATTGATAGAGAAGTGGGTGCGATAAAGGAAAAGCATTGTTGCCCTGCAATTCCACAGAACAGCGAAGTGCCTGCTGCAGATAATAATTCTTCTGTTCAGCCGCGACCTCAGCCTGGCGCCTACAATGTTAGAGGGCCAGCAATGGCGGTGCCATCCGAACTGGAATCAGGACATGCCAATGATGAATCCGTACACCAAGATGCAAGTTCCAACGCACCATGGGATTTTTTGGGAGGAGTCCGAACTATGAACAACAGCTCCACCCAACTGGAAGCAAGCAAGGATCTGGCCCGGGCCAAACCAGTCCAAAGCGAGCAGTTCAATGTTGGTGATTTACCCCAAGCAGAGATAGTTGACCATGTAGAATTGGAGAAGCAAGAGTCTAAGCAACTGCAACACAAGCAGGAATGGAATCAACGAGTGATTGGCTTTGCCATTTTTGCATTGGCTTGCTTGTCGCTTGGACTCATACTTGGACTCCTTCTTAGAAAGAGCGGAGAAGCTCTCATTATAGTTTCGCCAACTGTTGCTCCATCAATACCACCAACAGGCACTCCATCTAGTGCCCCAACAAGAGCATTGGATGCACTGCTACAAGATCTTCCAGACTCAACGCTTCAGAGACTGGATAACATTTCAACTTCCCAGTGGCAAGCCGTGGATTGGCTCTCAAGGCATCCGGATTTGCCAAATATGGAAACATGGAGACAGATTCAACTGTTTGCCTTGGCAAACTTCTATTATGCATTTGAGGGTCCAAATTGGCGCGAAGTGATTCGAAACAGGTGGATGCTCTATGACACATCAGAATGTTTCTGGTTCTCCAGTGCCTATGGAAAATTCAGTGATGATGGACCAAACTATATCGATGAGATACGAAACGATGTCGACCCTTGCAATGACCAAGGCAGAATCCAAACTCTCATCCTTGATGATTTGGAGCTCGCTGGCTTCCGACCATACATTCCCCTGGAAATTGAACTGTTGTCATCATTGTCATACCTTGCACTACGCCGAAATGGCATTAATGCTACCTTATCCAGCTTGATGCCATCATCTATCTACCAAATGCCAAATCTTACTTTTCTTGCTTTGAACAACAACGAGATGATGAGTGGACGAATTCCAAGTGAGTTGGGCATGCTAACAACTCTGAAGGAACTAAAACTCGATGACTGCTCTCTGTCTGGAACTCTCCCAAGCGAGTTGGGGTCTCTAACAAACCTCATTGAAATCGAACTTCAACGAAACAAGAACCTAGAAGGACCCATTCCCAGCGAGTATGGCATGATGAATAGTCTTATGGACTTGAGTATGAACCAGAACAAATTATCAGGATCCCTGCCAAGTGAACTTTTCCAAATGTCAAGTCTGGCAGAACTTGATCTTGTAAAAAATAAGTTCACTGGAACCCTTCCAGCTGAGCTGGGTTTGCTGACAGGGATAACTGACCTGAGGGCGCGCATTAATGAGTTCTCGGGTACCATACCCAGTGAACTAGGGGTTCTGACCAGGCTTTCAAGGTTAAACCTTGGTGGCAACAGTCTTGAAGGAACAATCCCATCAGAGATTGGGAACCTCGCAAACATGGAAAAACTCTATTTTGAAGGAACATCCCTCTCTGGTCCAATTCCATCCGAATGTGGATTGATGGTGCATGCTACACGCTTCTATGTAGACGAAAACCATCTTTCTGTGATTCCAAGGGAGTTCTGGCAGATGACAAACATGGAGAAGTTAAGGCTACAAAAGAACTTGTTCAGTGGACCCTTGCCATCTGAGATTGGAGACTTGAGGAGGATTAAAGAAGTGGAAGCCTATGGCAACTTTTTCTCGGGGGCTCTTCCGAGCGAACTAGCTCTCCTGACCAGCATGACTGCATTGCTCCTGCATGGAAATCAACTTTCTGGATCTATCCCTTTTGAGCTGTCCATGTTGGCATCAAACGGTTCGCTGGAACTTTTGACTTTGAGTGGAAATCCTCTCTCAGGGATTGTGCCGGAAGAGCTATGTGCTTTGGGCCAATACAACACTACCACAAAAGATCCCGTTGGCCTTGACTTTGATTGTGGTGGCCTCCTTTGTGGATGTGGCTGGTGCCGCTGTGGGTGAGCGCATTGCGAATTCAGCCTCGAAGACAGCTTTTGAATTAGGTAGACGCGGTAAAGCCATATATTATATATATTTTACGAGAAACATGTGACTTTACTTCAACTACCGTAACTGTACCGGTACCTGGTACCAGTACCACCGGGATCGTTGACAAGGAGGCCGGAGGGAGAGCGGAACCAACGGCCGTTAGGCGGGAAAAAATTAGGGATAAGGTGAGGATCTTCATCAAAACACGAAGCTCAACCCCACAACCCGAAAGCTTTTCGACCAATCACAATAAATTCCGAACCCATACGGTATTGGCAACAACAACAAAAGAAGAAGAGACAATGAAGCAAGTGAATAGTCCCCGACAACTGCGGCGTTGCTTGTACTGGCTGCAGATGCTTGCCTTGCTATTGGTAGTGCTGGCGGTGCCCAGAGCAGTCGCCTTTGCGCCACAAACGTTTAGGCCCTTGAGCCAATCGGGCAAGAATTGGCGTGTCACCACCATTGTTCAACTTCATCCTCCAACGAGCGCCCTCTTTTTCATGACGGGTGGCTTGAGTGATGACACCATGGTAGCCTTTCTACCAATGCACGATATCTCCTATGCCCTCCAGACTTGGTTCCACGAAATTTCCTTGCCAAGGTGGATGCCATCAATTGGTTGGCTGACCCACGCCGTCGGCATTTGCTACGGTAGTTTAGGCGTGGCTTTGTGGCGATTGGCCAGTCTCTCTTCGGTCCCCTACCTGATACTCCCCATGACGTGGATATGGCACTCCATGCTGACGCTGGTCGCCACCGAATTGGTGTTTGGTATGCAACGTTTGCGTGCCGGATTGCTGGTGAGCTTTTTGTTGCTTTCTAGTATAATTCCCATTTTGTGGGCTGTGGCCTTGTTGGACCAGCTGGCATTCTTGGCACTGCTACCCTACGCGGCATGGTTGGTTTTGGCCACGGCGTTGCTGCAGCAAATATGCCATCTCAATCCTACCGATGAACATGGATACAACAATGCCATGCTGCAAGCAGGGATTGCCCAACTGCAATTACGAGCTGCCAAACGAGTGGGTTTGATGTAATAGCCAAGAAGAAAGGAAATCGATCAGAAGCAGACTATGCAACAACCTGCTATTCCGTTTTTCTGTTCGTGCAGTGCGACTGCTACTGCGACTGTCAACCGTCAATCTCGGCACTAGGCTATGTATAAATCAGTCAAGCTACCCAAGAACGCGCCATTCATTTTCGCCAAGGGTAATCAGAGGGAAGATTATTCAATCCATGACGTGACGTCCCCTTGTAAGACCAAGAAGACCGCAGGATTTCATCTCGAGTGTAGCCGAAAGATTGCCATGCGCAGCCGGGCATTTCACCACAACGATCCGGAGGCTTGAATGTAACCTACATAGCTAGATGGTCAGATCGGTGCTCAATAATAGTATTGATTACGTATCCGTTCATCCCACTACCGTCCATGCAGTTTGGATATCCATTTCCGGCATTTCGAACACGGCGGCTTGCCTTGGTTCGCGTCGATTCCTTCTTCGCTCAAAAAAGTACGTGCCAAGGTGAATCAAGAAGCCAACAGGCAACACCACCAAACAGTTGAAGAGAAGGAGAGCCACGAAGCCTAGGACCCTGATAACCCAAGTTCGACAACCCGGCCTCTCTGGCTCTAACAAGATATCCTCCCATAGCTTGAAAATGAGCCAAACGAGTGCAAAAGGCAATAGCACAACCGCGCAAGTCAAGTACGCCACAAGGACTGGGATCTCTATCAACAGCAAATACAAAAACGCGCCGAAAAGGCACCCAAGCTTTCTGATGAATGCTTCCTCCACAACTCGGGTTCCCTTCAGCCAACTTCGGAAAGAATCTCCTGACGAATCGTAGAAAGCGACCTTGACAACCTCCGAAAGCTTTGGCTCGTCTTCCTCCTCCCTCCCGGTTTCGATGTCTGGTTTTTGTGCAGAGTTCCTCAACAACATTTCTCCGTATTCTCGTCGGCGAACAAAGTACACGCGCAACCCTCCAGCCAGAAGACCGATGAAGACCAGCGGAAACAGACATAGCCACAATACCAGTTTAACACCAAAGACGATCGGCTTCCATATCCAATCCAGACACACTGACACCTCTTCGTTCCAAAAGACATCCTCCAACGCAGCAAAGACCAGCCACAGAGCGACAAATGGCCCCGTCAGTAGCCACAAAACACAGAGAGTCACAATCAGAGGCATCTCCACGAGTAGGCGACAAGAGCAAGCACCAAGATACCGTCCCAGCTTCTGGCTGAACTTGTCTTCTAGTGCAACAATGCCGAGGGCAAGTTTCTCAGCCAAGCCCCAAACCCATTCCTTGAACGCATCCTCCACAAACAGTGACATCAATTGGGGATGTGACTCTGCCTCTTGATTTATTCGCGCTGTCTGAAGTTGACGTTTATGTTTGCGCTGGTGGAAATAGTTGGCGTTCCAAGCGAGCCAAAAGTAAAAGGCAAACAGTGGGGAAGCCAATAAAATGAATCCCACGGCAGCCACAAACCCGACGCGTTCGCGGCAACCGGATGCGTCTGCATTCAAAACAAAAGAGTCCCAAACGCGGAAGGTTGGCCAACTGACAGAGATCGTAATGGCCAAAAGCGCACAGAAGGTTGCATAGGCCAGAGCCGCCGGAATCTCCACAAAACACCAGTGTACAAGACGACCAAAGCCACGCCCCAGCCACTCGGTGAGTACACGTTCCGAATGGATTGTTCTGACGACGATTGGGTCGATGACATATGTGAACAAACAGTCAAGGAAAGAATCCTCCACAAAGAGGTGCAGATCGTCTTTGTAACGCCAAGGAGACCGAGTCACAAGTCCTTCCCACTCTGTCCCTGGATCTGGGATTGACATGTCACCGTCCGTTGCTGCTCTTTGTTCAATGTTTGAACAAACAGCTATCCGAGCCATGTTGCCGTCGGTGGTTGTTTCCGTTTCAGTGATCGACCTTTCGGTCTCGGCAATTGTATCTGACAACATGTAAGATCCCAATGGCCGCCTCTTTGAACCTGGATAAGGCAGGAAACTGGGGTTGCGCGAGGCTGCGTATTGTCGCCCTATGGAATCTTCCTTTTTGCAATCCGAGTTTGCTAATTTCCCCCCGCCAGGTGCTGTGGCACGGGAGAAGAAATTCAAGCGGCGGTATGGCCTTGCCTGGATGTCAGCGGCAGCGGCTTCTGCTCTGGGCGCAACAACCTTGCGCAGCAACAAATCGTCTGCGTCGTCATAGTCGGTCGCGTGGTTATTGTCGGCCAAAGTCACAACGTCCGTCTCGCAGCCCTGCTCAGCAGCATTGGCCCACGGACGACAAGCTGAGCGAGCCATAGCTGGGGGTAGTTCATCGTAAGAGATTGGTGGCAACTTCAGTGCTCCTTCTTCGGAGGCAGCATCAGTGGTGGGAGATACCTGTTTGCTGTCGCATTCCTCTTGGGTTGTTTCAAATTCAACAATGTCCGGCGTTGCAGACCTCTTTTTCTGCACTTCTTGCCTCAATTGATAGATTAGCGTCTCGGCTTGCAGGTCATTGTGTGCAAGAAGGAAATGGGCCGTGCTCTCCAAATCTCCATCATGACGCTGAAGTGCTTTCACTATGGTGCCTCGCTTCCACAGCTGACCAAACATTCCCTCCAGGGTGGCCAAAGCTCCTTCGTACTCCATCCCACACGCAGTACCCTCCTCCTTGTCGCTGCCAGTTTCCGTCATGGTCTTTTCAGGAATGTTCAGAATGATATCACCAGAGCAGAGACACTGTCACTTCAAGCAACCTTCCGTATAGGAGCAGATAGCAGCGCTTTGGAGAGGCCGTTGAGGATTTTGCGATTGCAACGAAGTATAATGGTCCTCCATTTCTTGCCCCTGATCCCTCAGAACCCAGTCCTGAATTTCGACTGTTCTTTGCTTAAGCCTGGCCCCGGCTGGCTTCCGTAGATAATTTCCCTACTCTAAACCCCCTTATATAACGAAGTACTACGGTAGTATCCACGTCTCGAAACGGAACAGTGGTTGGGACAGGGAGAAGCAGGAAAACGCATTACAAGCATTACACACCTGAGTAGACTGGTTGGTTGTTGACTGTCAATGCTATGGCTAATAGTGAGGCTGCAACTAGAGTAACTACATACTATTTTAATAATCAAAGTCAAACTCATTGTCGACTCTATCATAGTACTCCACCTGCCACATCGGCTTGTCCATAATTTGGAGCTGCACAATGTTGGCCACAGCATGGGCCATCTTACCATGTTTATCAAGGGAATGGCACCACCTCTGAAGGAAGCAGCTCCATTCCTTGAGTCTCCTATTGACACATTCGTGCCTGGCCCTTGCAAGAGCCTTCCTGCTAGTCTGCTGTTGATTGTCAAGGTGTCTCCATGGGCAGTCAAAGTACTGAGGATACCCCCTGTACCCCTTGTCAGCCACAGCTCTCTCATCTCCTTCAAACATGTGGACCAAAGATGACAAAGAAATTGCAATATCAACCCATTCGCCACAAGGGAAGGGACCATTGATCCACACAATCCATCCAGTTTGAATACACACAGCAATTTCATACCTCAGTCCAGGACCATTAAACTTCTTGGTATACCGGTACCAACCAGTAGAGAAAGGACCTGGTTCCCTGATGCGAAAGTCAGTTCCATCAACAGTTACCAGACACCGACTGCCATTGTCACATCTAAGAAGCGCATTTTAGCCACCCAATTTACCAGTGTGTGGTGGATTGTAGCATGTACATGGTGAAGTCTTTGTATTTGTGGAGTCGGCAATGAAGAAAAGAAAAAGCGCTAGCTTGCTCATGGCTCACCAAGTCCAAGCTCGCGATCTTCTCAATGAACACCCACACCCAATGCCGAATTGTCTTTTCATCCTTCATGAAGATCATGGCCAATACAGCGGTGACAGTGTAAGTTCTCAGGAACATGAGTGTGGCAAGGAAGTAGGTCACCCATCGAATATCACTGAGGGGATCCTCATCATCCAACATGTTCCACAGTTCCGCTGCCAGCTCAGGACAGACACCAAAGCATCCTCGAAATGTCCGCTGATAGCGATAGGCCTCATGGTTGACTGCTCTCGCTGTAAGCCCTTGGTAGATGGAAGCTGTTCTGATAATGGTAGTGGGTGTTATCTGCATTGTGGTTGAGCGAAAGTCAATTTTGTGAGAATTTCGGAAGATAGAAAACTCGAAGATAATAGATCAAGTCATGTCCGGCTTACCTGTAGCGCCATGTAGATCTAGTAGGCGGTGACCATCGACAACCTTGTAAGACCAAAATAGAGATGCTCATTGTCATGTACCGGCAAGAAAGAGATGCTTGGAAAGAGATGCTTGGAAAGAGATGTCATGGTGGAGGTATCGCTTGTAGCTTGGAGGAGGAATAGTGACTGTTTGCCGGTTGACCACTCGAAGTAACTCGGAATGGCAAAATGCGAACCAGCTTAAGAGAGGACTGCCGGACATATCGTACTTATGTGTATCATTTTCGCGCAATTATTCAAATACTCTACATTTTTTTGGTCACAATTTTGTCTAGAATAATGGGGTTTTACTGTGGCAAGCTGGACCTTTCATCGCCTAAGAGGAAAATCGCCCCATTACAGCCATATCGTCCAGAGGACATGCGAGATGGCAGTAATCCACAGAGTAGCAAGTATCTAGCTAATAGAGGATGCTGTAGTGTACTTGTGAGTAGTAGATGCAACACAAGCAACCATGATATGCTAGTGTTGAACAGTGTACAATGCCGGTGGAAACGGCGTTCCAGGACGTCCTGATGGGCTGGAACGCCAATTTCAGCCAGCGATCTAGAAGCCTAGAACACTGCTTTCCTAGCCAACTAAGGCTCAGTTGCACTGTCTATTACTAGTAAAAGAAGGGAGCGCCCTGGTTGAACAGGCTAGGTCTTTGTAGTGTTCTATATCACTAGCTTCAAAGGGCGATATGAGTGTGGGTCCGTTCTGTGATGGCATAGCACACCCACAGAACGCCCATGCAAATTGAAACAAAAAAAAGTGAGCACCAATTGATGCAATTGTTGGATTGGCAGTTGGGAAAGAGCGAGGCGCACCTTTTCACATGAGCTGAGAGGAATAGAAAAATCGCGAGCTGTTATAATGACCATGTGAACCAGTATGACCTCTAAGCCTTCCCATGAACCACATGCGTCTGAAATTTTATTCCCAGCAACTCACTCGCCTGGCAAGATTGGCAAGATTGATCTTGCCGGTATTGACAAGCGAACTCCCAACTCCACAAAACTGCACAGGTGTGGCTTTCCAGCACTATCAGTAGTAAACTAGCTAGTAAACTATCAAGCGATCTTCAAGATGGCGTTCTTCCTCTCTTCCTCTCTCCTCTCACAAATCGAAAACACCATCCAAAGCAAAAGCAATTGGCCAAGCAAGAAGCAATCGACAATGTCCTCCAGAAAGAGCGTGGCAAAGAAAGGGGAACCTGTGAAGCACATCTTCAAGCAAGATGGTCCCGACTTCAAGTTTCTGCTTCGACTGTTCCACAATGGAACAATCACTGATGAACAACCCGCCGCTGTGAGAGCTATGCACGACCGTTTTCTGAAGTACTCCACAAACCAGTTTCGCTCTCAGTTCAACAAAGCCAGAGGAATGGCTGCTGGTGTTGCTCTCAGGGGACCACAACCACCACAGGATGATGATGGACCACTACCCATTCTTCCCAGCTTTGTTCCTCACAACCAAGTTCCTGCTGTGGCAGCCAGACCTTCTGCAGTTGCACAGGTTCCTACCATTGCTGACAATGATGATGATGTTGAAGCTGGTGCTGAAGAGGATGGCCCCACTACTGCCTTGGAAGCCAAAGAGGATGGTGAAGGAGTGGGAGAATGAGCATGGCATTCGCCATGTCACTATTATTGTCTGGCTGAGCAGTGGCGTGACTGAAGCCGACATTGAAACCATGGTCTCTGCCAATGGCAAGAAGCTGACTATCAGTGAGAAGTGGCACCAAGACCTCTTGGATATTGGGGAGTTCTATTATCTCTATCAACAACACACAAAGGAAAACCTAGAGGATACCAATGTGAGGCGCCATGCCATGCAGCAGTATGTGAGATCCATTCTTGATGTCAGAGGTGATGTCATTTCAGAGTTCACCATGGACCTCCCATTTCCAGTTGATCCCTCTACCCTCAATGTTACCTTCCCCAGCTTTGAGTCTGGTGCATTGTTCTGCCATGTTGACTTGGCTGAGAAAAGGAAGAAAAGGGTAGCTCAGTCCTTTGTCATGAGGAAGAGGCATGCCAAGGGCAAGAAGAAGGGTGATATTGAATACAACAACCTCACCCCCCCACCACTAGACAAACTCAACAACAGCCATGGCTTTGATGTGTGTTAGGCACACTGTAAACAACTACAACAACCAACCAATCTGGGAGCAACCTGTTGAGTGCTCATGTAATCAACCAAAAGGGCAGCTTGTTGAATGCCCTTATAAAATAGTACTTGCATGTAGTGTGTAATGGCTTGTGTAGTGGTGTAATGCGTTTTCCTGCTCCTCCCTTGTACACAAGAATCTTTATTTATTAGCTAATTAACGTACATCGTACTGGTACCGGTACCATGTTTCCCGAGTCTCCCAAGCTGAAAGGATATGGGGCTGTGCCTCTGCATGCCTGATGAGAGTGTTTGAGTGGTCGCAACGTTACGGAAGGTTCCGTCTGATGAAGCCCGCATCCCAGAAATCCACTGTCGGACGTCAGAAAAATAAATATACAAACGTCAACAAAAAGCGGCCTAGTAGCACCAACCAAGCTCCACAAAACTCTAGCTAGTCGGTCGGTCGATGGAGAAGAGGAATGAAATCTATTGGGAACATCATCATCACACAGCACACGGCCTCAAAAAACTTTCTTGCCTGTAAAAAAGCGACATCCATCTTTGCCCGATTTCGAAAACGTCAAATAAATTCTACAATGGCATTGCTGCTTCTTCTGCCTCTGGATCGACATCCAATTCTATTTGGTACAGCTGATGCCAGTACTTTCCAGTCACCCACAGCTGTCCATCCACTGGATGCAGTGCAATGCCATTAAAGACATCGGTTCCGGGGGGTCGGTAGGGGTACAGTCCCCGAAAATCGTACAGCATCTCGATAAACCCCGTGGTCGGATTGATCCTGGCAATATAGTCTTGATACCAAATATTGGCCAGTATTGTGTTGGTGGTGGGATCCCATTCCAGTTCATTCAAGAATCGCATGCCTCGAGGTTTGGTCATTTGTTGATTCAGCATGTCTTGCGTCAGATACGTCACTTCCAAAGGGGGTTGACATTCTTTATAATCCTTGTCCCAAAAGTGTAGATTGGCCGAGCCATCGCTCACGATAAAGTCGTAATTGGGATTGTTGGGGACGTGAATAATCCCCCAGCCTTCATTGGTAGTGGTCGTAAAGGCGAATTCTTGCAAGGTTTCCAGAGTATCCACGTCAAAAACGAATCCAGTGAGTTCTTTCCAAGTAAAGTGGACGAGTCCCTTGTGGTGTTGATGATTTGGATTTGGTGGGTATTCAAAATAGCTCAATCCTTCGCCAAAATACTTCTCGTCCAACTTGATTTCTTGCAGTATTTGGGCATTGTTGTTGAGATCCAACACTCGAATGACGGACTCATTGTACATGCCTGTGGATTCGTAGAGAATCGTCGAGTTGTCCGGACGAAATGTCAGACCCTGTGTAAATGCTTTGGGATCATGAGGAAGTGTCTTGACGACTCTGTAGTTCTTGGAAACTTGTGTCAGAGGACCATCGTGATCGTGAGGATGGGACTGTTGATGGCTAGCTGTTTCCTTTGCTCTTCGGCTCGTGCTGCCCTCTTCTTCCTCCCCATGTTCAATAACCAACGCCAATACTAGAAAGACAACCAACACCAGCAACATGGCCACAATTAGTTTCATACCAGCAGGAAAGCCACTCGTTTTTGACTTTCTAGCTGCCGACGATTTGCGTTTGTGAACCTTGTCATCCTCGTCTTTGTTGGAGTGGTCAACGGCTGCTCGCTCACTGGCTCGTTGCTGTTTGCGCTGTCGCATGTTGTTGCTATTGCTTTTGGCCATGGTGCCACCGTATGTATTGAGGTACTGCGAAGGGAACACTAATAAGAAGTGATGATCTATAGCTAGCTACCGGTTACTAGCTCTAGTAATAGAAAGAGGACCCACAGAGGAAAGGGAAATGGGATGACAAGCCGATTGCCATGGCATGGCTCAATCGGCTCAATTGGATTTTGGATCTTTGGTCTTTGGCTTTGGAGGCTTGGAGGTCGTACCGTAGGGTTAAACAGCCAACATACTTAAGGCTAGCTAGTGGTTCAAAAGTCAGACAAGATTAATTTTAATAAGTCAGCGGGAGCTGCGATACCTCGGCAGAAAGACAGATAGAAGAAGGATGACATGTTTGAGATTGCACTCTTCTTTCAAGCTAGCCCGGCGACAACACCCGACTTCGTCGTGTGTTGCCGCCCGGTATCATTCCCTCACAGTAACCTTCTTTTTTATTTAATTAAGCTAGCATTGGCGTAGCCACGGCCTAACCCAAAATTTACAGCTATCATTCGATTGTGTAACTCTAAATTTACAACACCTGCTGGCTTATTGTGTTTTTGTCCTGAGTGCACTAACCTTAAATTACATTGATATATTCGTACCCCTAACTTTTATTGAACCTTCAATTTCCAGTTTTGCCAGCTTACATTATCTCTATCCTTATACCCTGGCTTCACCGAAATAGGGGATCCCACAGACACAAAACGAGGGGATCCCACAGACAAAAACCAGGGGGATCCCACAGACAGAATATTTGCCAATAAAGGGGTAGAGGACTCAGGCAGTTAACCTGCCGAGGTAATTGTGCTCGATCCTTCACCTCCAGAAGGACGATGAAGCTGGAACCTCCTCACTCGAGGCCTGCATCATCCCAAAGGTGATTGGAAGGGATGGTCTCGAGCTCCAGGGCCGCTTCTATGGGGAGTGCGGCAGTGGGATGGAAACGGGGGAACATACTGCTACTTGGATGGACTAGCTACATGCATCTTCTGCTTGGATGGACCAGTTGCTTCCGTCGGCCAGCCACAGAGCTGACGGGCATTATCGATTGCGGCGCTGGGACCTACATCTCCTGCATAAACTTGTGTCCTGGTTCGGCGGAGAACTGCCTGGGATTGGGATCTCCTGTTACTCCTGTTAGCCAAGCTCCTTAGGACCGGTAACGACCTTTACTACCACATAGTCGAGGCAGAGTCGAGGCAGAGTCGATTCAGAGTGGATGGTCTCCCGTCTACTATGGCATACATCTCTTTAGCTAGTAGACCAACCCATTGCCCACTTCGGAGATCAATCCCTTAGTTACAAGTACCTGGTAACTAACTTCTCATCACTGATCTAGAGCAGCTAGACGACGACAATCTTACAATGGCTTCTCTAGTAGCTAGCGAGTACTAGTAGCCATGTGCAATTCTTGACACCGATTCTGAAATCTCTGAGGAGGGCTACGGTACCGGGTACAAAGCCGCAGCTGCAACAATTCCTCTTCTCAGCTTCAGCGCAGTGCCAGCCACGCAGGCAGTTAGGGTTGCTTCGTTCGAAATGGAGGTGCTGCTGATCTATTTTGTTAGTGGGAGCGGAGTGGCTGATGCTGTAAAGAACATCAGTTGCCCAACCAGTGCACAGCTTTTGTCTGTGCCCTGTCCTTATGTAAGCGCGCTTTGCCAAAGCCCCCTTGACCCTTGAGATCTTTGCCTCGGTTGCTTTGGTGAAGCCACTGCACCCATAAGTTGTTTAGGGGCGATTCATCATTCGATTCTAGCATGGTGGATGGAGCATGGAGCTGTGGATGGTTCTCAAGACCAGGAAGCAATCTATACTCCTCAGGGCTCCTCGGAGTCCTCAGGAAGTAAACTAACCATTCAGGATCGAGTGAGATTCGATTCAGAGCACAGCAGTTCTACCACCCGTATCAAATCTCTCAACTAGACTAGCTAGATCTACCATCCAAGCCTCAAACTCTCATCAACAACCATCCAAGCATCCAACCATCCATCCATCCAACCAACCATCCACCGGTACATAAAGTTGGTAATTGGTACTGGGTACTCTACTAATATGTCTCGGTCACGACTCGTGCCAAAGAACTACGCGCGGACCATGGTCTAGCTACCGGTAGTCTAGCTGGTACTCTGAGTGAAGACTTTACGGCTTTACGGCAGGACCGTTGTGGAAACATTGAATCGTGGGTATTTCTATAAGAGACTTAACACGTCTCCTATAGGAGACGTAAGCTACTTAAAAGACATGGTTTCGAAATAAGAGACGTATCCTCATATTTATAGGAGACGTCTCCTAAGCAATAAGAGACGTACGCGAGTTAACTACCCGGTATCTTAGATTCTTAGTCTTTAATAGGAGATGTCTCCTAATAATTAGTAGAAGGCTTCTTTAAATATGAGACGTCTCCAAAAATAGGAGACGTTAAGTCACTAATAACGACTTAGGAGACCTACCCACGACTAAATCAACATTTCCACAGAGGTCTAGTGGTACTATTGTACTATTCATACTAGTAGTAACGCTAGGTCAAGTCTTCTTTAAAATTTAAAATTTCTGCTTCAATCAAAAAGGTAAAAAGGTGCATTTGAATGCCAATCTCACAGAGGTAGTTGGGGTGAAATTTCCGTAGAACTAACAGTTTTACGGAAAGTTTCAGTAAAACTAGAAACCGTAAAACTCGAAAACCGTAAATCTGTCGTAGAAAGGTACTGTAAACACGACTGAAAACAGAGTTTTACGGAAAAGTTTCCGTGATTTACGGAAATTTCCGTAGAACTGATTTCCGTAATTGACGGAAATGACATTTCCGTAAAACTAAAATGTCCATGCACGAATGCAAACGGCCGAATTCCGGACCTTGCTGTTGAAGGTCTTTGCTGAGATAATGATGAGCTGATGCTGGCAAATTATTACAGGCTGCTTGCTGACATATTTCTTGTTGACCGTGAGCTTGTATTGTGACTGCGCACAAGGGCTTGTGACTGCGCACAGGGCTTGTGACTGCCGACGGTAGCTAGCTGCTAGCTCATAGGGCCGGTAGCAGTTGCAGCACCTGTAACAAATCAATGCTGTTGCCAAGTTGCCACCGTTGCAAGCCTCCAAAGCAGCCGCGAACAAATGTAGCAATTGCGTTGGGCCTGAAAGGGCGACTAGTAGTCGCGCTGTTTCCTCCGAACGGACCGAAAGGAGACTCATAATTTTCTTTTCGAGACAACTGTCCACCAAAGAACATCACTGCAATCGCAACAGCGAGAGCAAGATACATCCTCAGCCAAACCAAAACCTACGTGGATAGCCGCTTGATTCTGTTCTCAACATGAAGCTTTCCTCGATTGCCATTTCCTTCCTTGCGGGAGTGGCTTCTGTTGTGCCCTCGACGGCAGTTTTGGTAAGGATTTCAGCCACATCCTTGTTCATCCCACCATCTGAAAATTGACTTGATGTTGTTGTTTGCCTTCGTTTACCCTTTCGAATGATCTCTGTATCTTGACAGTCTGCAACTGGAGTGGGGGACCACGAAAATCACGCCGATTTTCACGCCGATGCGCACGCTGCTGGACTCGTCCTTCCAGATGAACCCGACGATCGTGCCAGTCTCCTTCAAGCCAAGATGATGGAACAGCATGCCGCCTCTTCAGCTGCCATGGCCAAGGCTGTGGAAGCATTGAAGACGGAGGACCTTGGCACGCGCATCCAAGCCTTTGAAGGAGCTGTTGATGGCATTGAACTCATGTTGGAGGAGATGGAGTCAATGGAACCGTATGGCAATGATTTCTTTGATGGAGCTATTAACAGTTCCAAAATCCACCTCAAGAAGTTTCTTGAAACTGTCCCTGAAGTCCTTGGATACATGCTCAACAGCTTGGAAGGCCGATCCCCCTGTTGCCACGAAAATGAAGAGAACATTGAAGACGCTCAATACTGATGACCCCGACGATGATGAGTCCGAACCAAAGCCAAGCGTCACCACTGGCTCCAAGACCACCTTTGGCAAAGGCAGTGGCAATCCCAAGGACGAACCAACTTTTTTAGCTCATCACCGCCGCAAGCTAGCCAAGCTCCGTAATGCAGATCACTTTGAGGGCAATCATCGCGCTGCCCATCAGCATCAACGCATCACCAAGCTTCATGACGCTATTCTCAGTGCTGACCATGAACACATTGGCAAGGTTGTTAGGGCCGCAGCAACCAAAGCTGGAAAGTCAAGGGCTGACGGAAGACGCCGTCGTCGGCTGACTGATGCGGAAGACAAGTCAAAACAGTGTCACCAGCTTACGATGTGTGCCAAGGAAATGAGCTTCTACGATGTCCTGGTTTACTTTTACAGTGATGACATCGACCCAACTTCTGGAGAGATTGATGACTCCATCTACCTCTTCAACGAAGCGGACCTTGAGGACATGTACTCTCGAATCATCCTTCATGCAAATACCCTTTTCACAGCTTATGGAGACGATGAAACTGCGTATACAGATGATGATGAATGTGATTCATTGCTCCAACTTTTTCACAGGAACGTGGAATTTGCTGGCGTGCCTTATTGGGAGGGTGGTAAGTACAGAATAAGAGTCGTTTTTGGTTTCTTTTGATGGCTTCTGATCTCACACCCAACCTTACTATTACAGGCATGGTTTCACAGGTGTGCTTGGCAGAAGGAACGTAAGTACCCCCACTTCAGACTGTCTGGAACCGTTGCTGGAAAGTTTCCCAAAAGAACATACAATATCTGACCGGATCGCCCCACAAATAAACAGTCATACCTTCCTGAAGCTTGATGAGATTGCTCTCAAGATTGGATCCTACTATGCAAGGCAGGTGGCAGCACAAATGTTTACCTGTGCCCAAGATCTGTACAACACCGGGTTGTCTTCACAGCCATTCCCTTTGACCACAACAGACCTGATGACATCTACAAGCATGGTTGATGTCACAGAGAGTGGGCTGGCCATTTCCATCCACAATTCCGAACAAGTGCCTTATGTTGATAATTCAGCCAATGCGAATGATGTTGACTTCCTTCCAGAGAACCTTATTGATGATGAGGATGATGGTGTCAGCACTGAGTGGAAATGTTTTGTTGATGATAATGATGACACATTATGTGATTCGACTCAAAATGTGTATTTCAAATTTGACGGGACCCTCCAACGAATTGACCAGATGGAAATTACTTTCCGCGACGGAGATTTTCTTCCTGATTCTTACAAGATCTTGGCAAGAAAGCAGGGGGAGTGGGGTTGGACAACAGTTTTAAATAGTCTCTCAGGAACCCACGCTGTCGATTCATCACAGCAAGTGAGCGCAATAAATGGAGGTGGAGCATCTGTCACTCTGGGTGTGGAGAAGCACACAATTCCTCTTGGCTTCATGCCTACACCACCAGACTACATCGTTCTGAGGCTCTATGGATCCATCAAATATTCGATCTTCAATGTTGACTTCTACACAAAACAGTACAGCAACGGTGTCAATATCCTTGTTCCTCCCTCGGGAATTGAGTTGGACAACCGTGATGAGAATGGGCAGATCGAGGATGTAACACAACCAGTCTTTGAGTATAAGGGGGACCCCATGACGGATCTTGACACGTATGCGAATGAACTGCAACTGGTGTACAAGAAAATGCACTCAGAAACAACAGAAGAGAACAGAGGTGATATAATGCCCATGGCCAAGAACTGGGCTGATACAGATGGGAGTGTTGGTCAGGGAGCGTTCACGTACTACCAGGCCGATGAAGCTATCAGCTTTTTGACCTTTATGGTTGATGGCGAATTCCCACCTGGAGATCGCACACAAGTCACTGTTAGGAACAGGCAGGGGAAAATTAGGAAAGGTTTGAAGGCTCTGAAAAAGGAAATCAGGACAGGATTGAATGATGCATATGGCGAAGGTGGCAGCGAGGAAGAGTACGATGACAGCTATGACAGTGTTGCTGAATGGCTGTTGAACACAAAAGCAGCATCATACTATGAAGCTTTCCAGAGAATCCAACTTGGTTTTGATCTTGTCTTCGGTGAAAAAACGTGAGTTTAGCTACGAAGGATGGGTGAAATTTGGATGTGATACCTATTGCTAATGTCCTGCTGCTGAAAACTAGATCGGTTGGCTTCCTTTGTGGGATTAAGGAGGCAGTGGTTGCTGCTCCTGAGAAGTGGCCAGGTACGTTCTCGTAATGACAGAGGATTGCAGCAGTGTTAAGCTGGGTCCTCAACCATACATTTGATCCCTAGGATATTGCTGTTTGAGTGCCCCTTTCCAAAATGAAGGTGATGATTGGGGTCGAAAAGTAAGTCACTTACATCGATAGGTGACCTCCTCCCCCCTCTGCAGCGAAGGCAGTCTTTTCTCATCTATTATGTGTCTCTGTTTCAACGATCCACACAGCATGACTGTGACACCACCTCTACCTACCCTGGGCCCTTCTTTGCTGGATTAAGCGACGATTCTTGCGCTGCCAATGGTGGAACGTGGTGTGCAGCTGACACTGACTGTTCTGATCTCCAGAGTTGTGTTCAAACTGAGTATGACACTGCTGTGGCTGACAAGAAGGGTGGTTATGCTGAGTAAGTGCAAACGGTTGTTTCAACTTTTTTGGTTTCTGCAGCATATCTTCTTGCAGAGACTTTTGCTGACACCTTCTCAATGTCCAGATATTTGAAGGGTGGTCTAGTTGGTACAGCCACAGACCCTGATGATTGTGGCAGTAGCAGAGAGTACTTTGGCTATGATGCTGTAAGTGAGCGAGGATTGCCACCCAAACTTTGAGTTAAAAGAGAAACTTGTGAATATTGCCTCATGCCTGATTTCTTTCTTTTCTTTCAGCTCTATACTCATGACTTGGTGAGCTACTCTAGCTATAAACCAAGTTTTTGTATTGTTGCATTCTCTTGAGTGCTCACACCCTTTGATCTTTCTTCTGTCTTTCTGCAGGAAATCTGTGACCAAGTCCAGCAACTTCACAATACGCAAAACTTTGCCTTCTTGGAAGAGTTCTTTGATCAGGGTTCAGAAGTTGGAAGAGGAGAGGAGTTTGCTGTGGACTGGGAAGCTCTGTCGACACCAGATCGGGGTAAGTGTCTTCAGATCACACTTGTTTTTGTTCTGTGCATTGGTCGACCTCACCCTGTCCTTCAAACCCTTGCTTGCAGTTCGCTCTGGATCGTATGCAGTTATAGATGGCGAGGCGTGGCAGGCTGCAAACTTCTACATTTCACAAATCTTTGCACCTATTGACACAACTGTTGAGTGTGTTATGGCCTACAAATGTCCAGATGGTCCATTTGGCGATACAGTCTGTTGTGTTATTGTCAACAGTATTTATTTGATCTTGAAAGTCGCTCTTTCATTCCTGGAAATGGTATGTGCTTTATCTTTGCTTCTTGCAGTCTGTTCAAATCAGTATACTTTTAATTCGGCCAAATTGACAATCCCCACAGGCTTTCAATATTTCAGAGTTTATACGGGAAAGTTTGTCAGACCCTTCAAATGTTGAGCCAATCCAGGCCTATGAGAACACTGCTGTGCTCTATGACAATATGGTGGCAACCAATGAGAATGTGAAACTTGCTCATGACAATTTGAAAAGTGTCATTGAAACTGAGTGTGGTACTACCATCAGAGAACGCAACTTGGAGGAAACAGAGGATGGTGTTGCTGAGGAGCTGGCTTCATTGCAAAAGCAGAATGACGGCATTGCTGCAAAGTTGGACCAGCAGCAGAAGCAGAATGCTGCCATGAGTGCCAAAATGGACCAGCAGCAGATGCAGATTGATGCCGTGAGCGCCAAGTTGGACCAGCAGCAGAAGCAGAATGATGCAATGTTGGAACAGTTCAGCAAAGTCAATGCTATTCTGCAGCAGCTCCTTGCCATGCATGCTGGCAACCCTCAAGCCTAAGTGATGATTGAGTTTTACTCTAGTAGTTCGAAATAGTTGAAATAACTTTGGAGAGCTAGGAGAAGCACATGTATGGAAATGTCTGCTCTAGAGAATGGAGAGATGGCATGGGCTTCCCTAAGTCGTCCTTTTTCATGCAGGGGTGTGTTATTAGAGATCAGCTCAAACGCCCTACTTGAAAATAGCTGGTAGTTGAGGGCAACATGACAGACTACATGTCATGGAACTTCCCCTGCCGATACTAGACACAAGCCACGGACGGGGAAATACGTATAAACGGGGGTTTAGAGTAGGGAAATTATCTGCGGAAGCCAACCTGGGCCAGGCTTTTAAGCACTGTGATGCCCACTGCTTGCAGATTTAATCCTTCTCCTGCTGCCTCGTAGTTGAATATCAAAACACTAGCACTTGTATTCCGCTTGATATCCATGAGCACAACGTACCACTGTTGAGCTCGCTCGTTCCTTGCCTGCTGTCGCTCCGTCAATGCGTAGCACGGCGGCTGTTTCTTGTATAAGCCTTGCAGGAATCGAGCATGTCCTGCATGAAATCCAAGGAACCGCTCCATTGCGAGAAGATGACGATTCGATGGCCTGCTGCTGTTCCTTGCTCCCCGCTATCGTCATTTGTGAGAATCTTACTCAAGAACACGTCGCGAACCAAAGAGAGCTTGGAAGACGAACGGCGTTTATCGTTGCGGTGAGAGTCCAGATACCGCTTGAGGTATATGAACACACGTAAAGGTACGAACGTCTCCCCAAATGCTCCAAAAGGAATGCATCCATGGCACTCTTCACGTGATTGTAATAGATGGCCCATTGCTCTTATTCTCAACAACAATTCGACACGTGTGAATCGAATCATGATCGACCCGTCGCGGTAGATTGCTCTGGCTGTGCGTGAATAAGAGTTCCGTTTGTGTCCGTCTCAGTAAAAGTACATTGAGCCGCCATTCCACGTGGGCTTGCTTCCGTCTCGCGGGGACTGTGTGCTCAAATAAATAGAATTTGGCCGTCTCTTCCCAGCCATTCGCGGAGGGCGTCCATGCCAGTGCTAAAATCCTCGATTCGGTTCCAACGAGCATTGCGACCAAATCGTTCTTCGTCCAAAAAGCAAGCACGTTTGAAGTCCCAAGAGGAGAACCGCCTTGATCTCGTGGCGAGTTACGATAGCCCACTCAAGACCCATCGATACGTGGATCGTTGGCTGGAGATGGCAATGGCCGTCGCCGATGTCCGCGTGGCAATCTGATGCCCTTCATGTCAAGCTCGTATTTTGATCATACGATGTGGTCATCCAGCAGGGAAGTTCGTGGTTCGGTGGAGATTTCTTAATTAATAAGCTGATTCTTCGATTCACCCAACTGTTGCCATTATTGTTTCACTCTTTGTTACTATCACCACTCTTGTGAGCGACGAGATAGTTCCAGGATGGTTCTCACGAGTGAGAGGGGCATCCAAATCAACGGAGAATGGGCTTTCCCTGACCTCTGCTAATTTGGGCTAGTCTAATCTTCCGCTTTGAGTCGTCATGCTTTCAGATTGTGTCTTTCTTCCAGATTAGATCTACAGTATGTTATTTTTCTGGTAGTCATTTTTACGCGTGTTTTAAAAGTGGAGCCTTCCGGATTGGGTCATTGAGCAATGCACGGTTCTGCTGCCACCAGCCAAAGCCAAAACAGACTGTTTCGTTGTTGTGGCCAAGCACTCTTTCAATCGCCCCTTCTTATGTTTTTTACAGCTTCAAAGTGTGAAATTAACTTCATAAGTGTGAAATTGGAATTGCTTCCAAAAATTTGCATCGGACTTCCTGCTGAGAGGAATTCACGTAAACAAAAAGTAAAACTAGTTTCATTTGCGAAATGTTACGGGCAATTCGTGAAACAAAAACTGCATTAGTTGCAAGAAACACGGAAACCAGAATTGGAACCCACAGTTTCGCTGCTGCTGCCAAGTTCCTGGACGTTGCTGGTGTCGACCACTTCTTTGCAAATAGCTACAGTAGCAACTCGATCGTTGGACACAGAAGTGCACATGGATCGATCGAGCCCCTCAGCTCAAAACCAAAGCACAAGTAGCTCTTAGCACAGTCGGATACAGTAGAAATCGCTTTCTTACAGTCCTCCCATCATGTCGAGTTCCTCCGCCATTCGCTATATTGACAGTAATGGAAGGCAATACCGTCAGGGTCATTTGATGTCGTTACTTCCCACAACCACAGTCAGTGAAGGAGAAAGATTTCTCGAGGAGACAAGAGTATTCAATGACTTGAGTGCCTTCTTGGCGTACAAGCACTCACAAAACAGAAGCAGTCAAGTGCTCCCAGACCTTTCCCAAAGGTTGGCTTCCTGCGATTTCCAGTGGACGTTTCTGGCTTCTGATACACAGTTTTCTCCAATAGAAACAGTCAGGGGGCTGACGACATACCTTGACAGGGTCAGAGCATCCAAGACAGCCAATGCGACAAACAGTACTTTGACCAACACTGAGGATTTGCCTGTGCTTTCTGCAAACACCACAAACATCAGTCCATCACAAGGAACAGAACTTCCTCTTCAGCAACCATTTGCCCTGTTGGGGGCCGCAAAATCTATATCATCGCACTCACTCAGCGTGCTTGCTGGAATGATGGAGTTGCCCCAAATCAGCTCTTCTTCCACTTCAGATGTTCTGGATGATGCGCCTTTCTTTGCACGAACAATTTACCCTACCTCAGGTACAAGCAAAGCACTAATGGTGTATCTGAAATCATTGGGGGTTACTCATGTGGGCCTCCTTTTTATCAATGATACTTGGGGAAGATCCTATCAGAAAAACCTTGCCTTTTCTGCCAAGCAATTCGGCATCTACTTACACCCTTTTGCCTACAACGAACTGGATGACTTTGATGAAAGGGTACAAGAGTTAAAAAATTCACAAATGCAGTATTTCATTGGGGCCCTGAAGCCAGGGTATTGGAAAACCGCTGTTCGCAAGTTGTACTCGCATGGGTTGATGGGGAAGAAAACTGAGGACAGCATCCACTACCAGTGGTTCTTTGGTGGATTGCTGGACCTTGTTGCTGAGGGGTTTGTTTTAAATGCTAAGGAAGATTGGGACCTGGCTCATGCCCTGCATGGAGCTGGAGTTGTGGTGCAGAAAGTCACCCCCAATGACGCCTTTAACAAGGCTCTAGCTTCCATTAAAGACGACAAGGCATTTCAACAGGACTTCATCAACAGCCACTCAGAACCCCACCTATTCGACAATTTCACCTTTGACTACCCTGGTTGGTCCAAGATACAGTATTTGACGTATGATGCTGTCATTGCTCTTGGTATCACGGCCTGTCAGACGCCTGGTTTGTTCACTGGCACTGAATTCTACCACAACTTGCTGAAGATTGACTTTGAGGGTGTGTCTGGTAGAGTTCAGCTAGACAGCAAAACAGGGAACCGCCGTGAGGATGGTGTTGAGTTTGAGATTATCAATGTAGTTATCTCAGATCGAACAAGTGCACGGGAGGGGGGAAATGAATCGATTTCCTTCACGCGGAATGCCACTGCTTTGATCACATTTCATCCAGAGACACATCAAGGCAACGTAGAATTGCTACAACCTTTCTTCTACAATGACAACACAACAAAGCCACCTCCCGTGTTGCCCCGACTGGAAGAAAACATGAACCTGATTCCCGAGCCGGTCCTCATATTTGGATTTTGTCTAGCTGGAATTATTATCCTTCAATCGATTGGATGGGCTGGATGGGTTTACGTCAACAGGAAACAGCCTGTAGCTTCTGCAGCACAACCACTCTTCTTGACATTGCTGTGCATGGGAACATTCCTGATGGCATTGGCAATCATCCCTCTTGGCCTCCAAGAACCCAACACTGGCTTGGATGCAGCCTGTATGTCCATCCCCTGGCTAGTCTGCATTGGATTCTGTGTGGCCATGTCAGCCTTGCTCTCGAAAGCCATCAGAATCAACAAACTAATGAAGTCCGGCACTGCTTTCCGAAGGGTTGCGCTGAAACCTACTGATGTGATGAGACCCTTCCTCACATTGATGTGCATCAATGTTGCATTCCTACTTGCCTGGACAGCTTCACCATACAGCTTGTCATGGCAACGAACCAAAGTCAACAACTATGATGAGTTTAGACGACAGGTTGAGTCTGTTGGCATGTGCCGGCCACAAGGAGGCCACTGGTACCTATTCTTCTTTTTGCCTTTGGCAGCAGTCAATATTGTTGCAACTGGCCTTGCCACATACCATACATACAAAGCCAGAGACCTCCCAGTAGAGTTTGGTGAGACGAGGTACTTGGCTCTGTCGATGATCACTCTCTCAGAGATCTGTTTGATTGGTCTACCAACCATTGGAGTTGTGGTTGGAAGCCCTACCGGCCTCTACTTGGTGGTTTCTATCGTCCTGTTTGTATCCTGTAATGCCATCTTGCTCCCGCTGTTTGTTCCCAAGTACCTTTGTCGAAATGTGCTTGCACGAGGGAATTCCTTTTGCAATAGCATTTCAGCATACAACATGGACCAGAGTAAGAACCGGCGAGCTCTTCCTTTCCGAGACCAAGCAACGCATTTTGCATGACAAGGGGCATCGCCATAGAGACAGCCTTCAAAACACGAGATCCATCGTCAGCCCCAAGATTTGATCCAAACTTGGTCAAAGTCATCAAACAAAGACACAGAGATAGGTGGGGTAAAGTGCCGTCGCTGCGGACTGGCTCCGAGCGCCATGGTCGATAATATTTGTTGCTTTTCTGGAACCGGAAGCACGTCAATTTCGTCGATTGAAGCTGCCAGACCACCACTCTACTAGACAGTATCACAGGACGCTTAAACTTTCCAGAGGAACGGTTGTATCCACAGTACAGCCAGATATTGGCAGCTCCACCGCACACCACACGTAAACCATGCCATTCTCAGTCATACGGTATGCATAGCTCGCTCGTAGGTAAAATGGAGCTTCTTTTGCCTGGTGTATTGGGTGTGGCCAGTGGTGTCGTCGTGGGTGTTTTGGGAGCGGCGGAGTTCATTCGAAGCTGTCCCAGAACCTCGTCAAGGAAAATGGTGGAACGAGGCATCTCAGAAATGTAATAACTGACGCATTGGATTGCCACGGTGTTCCATTGGTCCAAAGATCTACTTGTTGTCTTGTGATGGCGCGGAATACGGTCTTCGATTTTCGTCGACGCTGCTTCTTCTCCTGTCGACGCTGTTGTTGCGCCGACACGATAGGCTGTTGCCGATCCTGTTGCTGTTACAATAGCGGTCACGGCAGCGGTGGCCGATGTTGTTGCAGTTGTAGCGGTAGTAGTAGTGGTCGCCCGTTCGATCTTCTCGCAAATTCGCTTGAATTCACTGCTTTGCCGATGGATGCAACTCGTTCCGTACATGTAGTTCCGTAGTTGCTTGCTGGCTTCCGCTGTTGTTGAGCCTGGACATTATCACCCGCTACGACTGTACTATCGCCGTCCTGTCGATAACAACAGCGAAATTGGCACGCTGCCGACTGAAGGTGTCGGGTGGTGGCGGTGGATAAACTACTAGTAGCAGATCAGCCCCAGCATGACCCATGCAACCTTTCAACACCAAACCAAGGTGCTCTAGGTTGGTCTAAGAGGTATTAGAAGCGATCGGAACGGCTTATTGGTTACCCCCACCATGGTCGGGTCAATGAGGGGTTTAATGAATAATTAGAGAGAGCTAAGATGAGGATGGGGACAGAGCAGGAGGGGAGGGCACCATGCAGGAACCCAAGGCAAGCAATCAAGTGGGCAAGCAGGGCAACATGGAAGCCAAGGAAAGGGGTGAAGGCAGGAGTGCAGGGAGGAGCAAAGGTGGTGAGTTCAAGGCCACCAAGCACCAAGCACGCCGGGAGAGACAACACTAAAATGGTAGCTGAGGTAAATATAGAGCTAACGTTAAGTTTTATAAGGGACGTTTTTCTCACATACATGTTCAAACCCTCTTACCGCATCTACCCCCCAGCTCAAAGCTGTCTCCGTTTCATTTCGTCCGGTTTCAATTTCAAACGGTTCGGAAAATTGCCTGCAGACCACAGAGCCCCCAAAGGTTTCGTCTCCGTCTTCGGTCTTCTGTCTTCCACAACAGACGGTACAGTACCGGTACCGTAACCGTAAAAGTACAAGGCCACAAACAGGTTGAGATCATCCAAAGATGACATCCAAATCAGCGGACGCAGCGGTCGTTGATCTCTGTACACCACCAAAGGTATTCAACAATGGATGCAAGAAATATCCGGTGGAGCTTTTGGACGACAGTCCAATGGACGACAGTCCCATTGACTCTCTTAGTCGTCGTCTTCGACGGACGTCTCTGCAATCCACGAGTGACAGCCAACGCGACACTAGTGAAGCTGAAGATGACTGGAGATTCTTCGTTCCACAGCTTGTTTCGTGGTTCTCCAAGTTCAATCTTTCAAAGTCCTTCGCCTGTTTTGCTTCGTCAATATCGAAACCAAGCCTCTGGTTCGAATCGAAACACTACCGGTACGGAGAAGGAAAAGGAACGCCGTGACAACTCAAAGACGTCGAAGACTAGCAACAAGAACAAGAAAGGAACCTCGAACAACACGACGGGATCGGTGGTTAACGATTCGGACGTAGAAGTCATTGAACCCAACGTTCAGGCCGTTCGTGATGATCCGTTTGCCAAATCCTCTTCCAGCGACAACGGCGACAATGAGATTGAATGCACTGGAACGAGTGGAATGAACGCCATCGTGGATTTCCCTCACCATCGCGACCTTTGTGTCATTTACAAATTCTCCGAGGGCAATCACGCCAGCTTTTGCGAGAAGTGCTATTGCGTCGTCTGCGAGATTCCTGCCAGCGAATGCAAGAGCTGGAATCTCCACTGCGATCGGCGAAATAGTCACTACAAAGAACGGGAGGCCGAGCAGCAACGACATGAAGATGGTGCGCTAGCCCGTCTTGAGAGCTTGCACGGCAATCGAACCATGGACTAGGTTTCTATCGAGGGCAGACATGGCTACACAAGAACTGTGCGGACGAACATACATTATCGACTGCCACGACCTCGTCAACTATCGCTGTAGCCCCGAGTTGTGAGTCCGATCCTTCCGGGTAAGTGAATTTCATCCATCTATTTCGAAACCAACCTACAGTCCTGCAAGAAAGGAGATGTCAATCCATCAACTCGTACCACCAAGCACAAAGAAACAAGAAAAGCAACGAGAAAGTTGTAAAGAATTATAACACTAAACAAGACTATTATTAGAATCGCATGATACTCTGTGAGCACCCAAGAAGAGTCCATGATTGTGCCCCATGAAACCTGTCCACGTGATCGTGAACGGTACTACAGACCACGTCTTAAACATTGTCGTCTGCAGTCGATGCCCCTTCTTCTCCTTCTTCTGGTTCCTCGTCTTCTTCTTGGTTCACTGTACAAGTATCAATCTTGAGGCGATCAGCGATGCGAACCGCCACAGAGTAGTCACCCATCATGCAGTAGGCAATCAGGGCAGCACCAAAAAAGATGTCGAGACTGACGAGGCCCAATCGTTGGGACTCACCAGCCTCATTAATGACCGTGAATAGCAGGGTTGGCGCCCAGCTAAAGACATAACCACAAAAGCTATACATCCCCATGAGTTCGGCATCCTGACCTTCAGGCAAGATGGCACTGACGAGGACTCGGTCACCCGTGTACTTCCACCCCGTAAAGAAACCAAAGAGAAAGCACCAAAAGTACGTGACATTTTGGTCTCCCGGTCCAGAAGCCACCAGGGCCCAGAGAGGGGTCAAGATGAAAAAGCCCAGGACGGAGAGCGCCGAACTGCGAATTGGATTGACCCATCGGTTAAAGACGGCACCCACCAGTGCTCCCGGAATGGTCGAAATAATCACCAGAGCCGATGCCAGGACGACCTCTGTGGAGTTAAACTCCAGTTGGTCGCTGACATAGGTAATGGCGAGCAGTGTCAGTGACTGCACGGCGGCGTCTCCCACACACAAGGAAAGGAAGAACCATTTGAGTCCATGGTAGTGTTTTTGGATTTTGATGGTGGTTCGATAGACTTGTCGAAATCCCGCCGAGAGCAACCATTGACCTTGTGGCAATTCATGAGCGGCGGGTCGTTCTTGGAACAGCAGGCCCCATGAGGCATAGAATAGGACACTGCTGAAACAAAATGCAACAATTGCAGATAATCTAGCCACGGCCACAGAGTCGCCTGTGATTCCCAGCCCGGCTCCAATCCCCATGACAATCCCCAAGAAGAGGACAATGGAAGAAAAGCTGAGAATTGTAAAGGTTCGGGAGAACTCATTGAGTCGATCTTCATTGTCGGTTAGTTCGGGCAAGTATGCATTGAAAAGCATGCCTTGGGCCATGCTAATGACCAGGTTGACCATGATCACTATGGAAACGACAAACCATGTTTGTTCATTGAGAAAGGCGGGGGCCAGAATGAGGATGGTAAAGGCAAAGGAAAAGATGCGACCCAGCAATCGCCGGTGAGGTGTGTAGTCCACCAGTGCACCCGCCAAGGGAATGACAAAGGCTGCTGCCAACCCCACAATGGTGGATATGACAGTAAAGAAGGAAGTTGGCTTGACGCCATAGACTTCCCCGTAGCACTCTGGGATTTCATCCATTCCTTCTGGAACCTCCGTGGCGCATCCTGCCTCCTTCTTGGCCAATTCCAAGGCAGCGGGAACTACAAAAATGCCAATGCCAAGGCTAATGCCCGAGTTGGCCACGACGGTACATGCCCATCCGAGAGCTTCCTGATTTCCGTAAAACAGGGGTTTGCCACGGATTCTTGGGTACCACCAGGGAAGAGGTGGTGCGTCTTCATCCTTTTCCACCACAATGATAGGAGTATGTGGTGGGTCTTCCTCGTGACCATCAATGGCCCTTGTGGCATCATCACTGATAATTTCCTGGGAAGTGGTAGTGGGAGCTTGGTCCATTGCAATCGGTGCAGTGCAGGGGCCGTTCATCGCAACAACATCGCCATTGTTGTGGCTTCCAACAGTCGTCATGGTTATCGTTTACCGTGCGGTATGTGCTGTGAAGGGTGGTCTCTTTTTGCTGCTCTATTTCCGGAGTTTATGATGTCCCTTTTGTCCTTGGCTGTCGATGATTGTACATCTTGAAAGGACGAGGACACGATGACTACAGTATGCATAGAGGAACAGACACTGGCAAAGTGGCATTTTGCTCAGACACCTCGACAAGGCCCACAAACTTCTCGCAAGATTGATATTTATTTTTTGGGTTGTGTGTGTCTTGGCAAAACAGCAAAAAGGCTTTGCAGATCCACAGTACTGAGTAATTAAAGTCAAGGAAATAATGTAGTCTTGCTGGACTTCAGTACTTATTAGTACTATTAATAGTAAATAAAGCAAGTTTTTCGGAGGACGTACCGGTTACCGGGTGCCCTATACGGTACCCGGTACCGGTGCATCCGTACGCTACGAGTCAACCAGACTGCCTACTGTATGCCACCGGTAGGGTTGAATGGAAAGCAACTTCCTATGCTTTGCTCCTTCCTATTGACACGATTCGTTGCCAGGGTATTCTTCTTCAGTTTTAAAATGAAGCATCCAGTGGACATCAGCGGGGTAGGAGGGATTTGAAGTCTCCAGTTTGCAGTGAGCTTGCAATCTGGCTCTGCAGTTGCAGGTTTGCGGGGGAGTCAACTCTCCCGGGTCAAGTATGTTTTACGTATGGTTGCACCTACCAACACGCAACTCAACACGGACACTTGGCACCAGATATTACTAAAAACGCGTATGATTACAGCTGTCAAATGGATGGAAGCCCGTTGCATGATTGATGAATCGTATGTTTGCTTCACAAAAGCATGGGTGTGATTGCCTGTGTTCAAATCGCGTCATCAGGATCGGTCATTGCTTCAGGAAGACAGGCAAGGTCCGACGGATCCAAGTTTCCATGACGAATGGAGACGGCGGCGTTCGGCAACAAGAACTTAGCCATCTCGATGCAGCCAATCATCTTTTTTTTCTGTGCGAGCATAATCGCTCAAGAAGTCCCTGGACATCATATCCTGGGCTGGTGGGGGTGGTGAAAGGTCAGCCTTGCTGAGGTCTGCGTTCAGAGTGACGGGGCCAACAATGCCGTCAAGGGGCAAGGGAAGGGAGACCGGAAATGAAATGAAAGGTGTGCCCTGGCCAGCTACGGTCATTTTCTGGTATCGTCGTACGTGTACAGTCTACACCCTATGGCAGTGATTCGCAGCCTCCTGGCTGCTCTATCGTGGGGTGAACGCATTATGCCGGCAGCGATTGGGGAGGAGCCATGCCCGCACCTTCTGCCAGTCCTCATCTGAAGACAGCATCTCGCTACTTGGAATTGGGCATAACCGAAGATCAGAGCACGAAATGAAGCCCTAACGACGTTAGGCAAGAACAGTGCAAAGCCAGACTAAGCTACCTATAATGTGAGAAGCTGCTCTGCGATCTTGCGGCTTGGCGAAAAGAGGCACCAATTACAGAATTTGGCTTCATAAAACGATGATTTGTATTTTGTTCCTTGGTAGTAGAATAATCGACGGGCCCAATTCTTTTGTGGCGGCTCCTCAACTCTTCGTTTTTGGTTTTGCCCATTCCGTAATTGATTTTTGGTTTGTGTGATGTTGCTGTTTCGGTTGCGATGAAGCCTTTCTCTTTTTTGTGACGGGTGGTTCATAATCATATACAGTCACGGGAATATCCAGCGCACAGAGTTCTTCCTCAATGATGGGTCCCATGACATCCCATGTCCCTCCTGCCAAGCCACAGCCAATCCGTGGCATGTGGACCGACGCTCCCAACACGACAGCCTTTTCCGCCACACGTTTCAAGCCTCGTCGCACCGCCTCGTATCGAATGGGCGGTGGTCCTCCATTTTTGGGTCTTCCAATCTTGTGTTGTCCAATGAGATTGGCGACCCACAGCGAGTCTTCGACTTGTACTAGTTGGACCGCCCCGAGGCGGAGAAAGGGCTCCTTGCATTTTTGGGCGTATCCACGGTAGGCTACTTCGGGTTCGTCCCATTTTCTGGAAATGGCCAAAACAAAGCCCATTCCCCAGCCACCAATGTCGTTGCAGACATGAACTATGATGCGATTGCTGTCGGGTGGGGCCAACGGGGTTGTGGCGTCGCCTTTGATGTATTGGATCTCTGTCATGGTCTTGCTATGCGGGCGGCTGGTGTCTTCCTCTTTCCTGATTGTTGTTGTTGTTGTGTCGTGTCGTGTTCTTTGGGCTCTTCCTCTTTTTCCTCTAGTTTGCGGGTGTACAGGAGGGGGAAATGTTCATCAGGCTCAGTCACTAGCGAGTCCACAGTGAGTCGGCAGTGATGACAAACTTCCGTAACGTTTCCAGAAGCAAACGGTTAAAGAACTTCATGGACTTGACAACCCCCAGCAATTCTTACAACCCGGCGTTCTATTTCGGTGGTGTTTTTTATTCACCAGGTTGTCACTGGAATAATATCACGCCGGGGTTGTCACTGGAACAACTCGAGATCCTGCATTGGAACATGCTGGAACATCTTTCATTGGAGCAATCTTGCATTGGAACATGCTGGAACATCTTTCATTGGAGCGATCCTGTATTGGAACATGCTGGAACATCACACCGGGGTTGTCACTGGAACATTCACTCGAGATCCTGCATTGGAACATGCTGGAGCATCTTGCATTGGAGCGATCCTGCATTGGAACATGCTGGAACAGATGAATCTTCGAGATTCATAGACGACAGGGGAACTAAAACTTAAGGTCGGTCCACTCTCAAAAATTACTGTAGAAAAAAGAGTAATGGACCGGGGTGGGGTGGCGCGCGGTCCGTTTTTTCTACAGTAAAAGAGTACTGGCTAAAGAGAGGTAATAATGGTTTCGGGTCATTGATAACCTTAACCTTCTGTTATCCTGTCCTTCACCCGCTTCGCTGACCTCTCTTTGGTTTATCTAAAAAGGTTACGGATACTCGGAACGCTTACGTCATACAGGTGAACTACTCTTAACGTTCTAAGACTGCAGAGGTGCTTGAAACTCCCAAGCTTAGGCGGTCGCATAACTGGAATCTTGTATTCTTGAGGTTCTTGGTTTGGATGAGATGAGAGTTTGGCATGCTAATCAGCATACAAGCTTCGAGTGAGATGGGTTGGTCAAGTGTTGCACTATTATCGTTGAAGTGTTCTACTTTATAGTTCGGAAACCAGGTCCTAACATTGACTTCTTCATCATCATTGATCAGACAGCATAGGTGGAGTTCACTTAGAGGTCCTTGCATGTTGTAACTGATGAAACCTTCAGTTATAAACTCGCGTTGAAGGAACTTAACGAATGTAATATAGTCAGAGAAACTACTGTGTGAGCTACTAATTATCCACATTGTCCGATCTATGACTAAGGACTTTCTACTAATTTTTTAATTGCGGCTTAATTCGGTACCGTTATTTTCCATTGAGAGTTCCTCTGTTAGCTTATTTATCGTGTGGTCGGCGTCAGAAAGTGGGGTGCATTCGAAAGCAGATGGGATCATGGTGGCGTCATTGTTGTCTGGGATGAAGACTCCGGTGATGTATGGGTTACCGCGGTGAGACACTCTTTTGACGAATATCAAATAGGACA